TCAGACTGGGGACAATCTTCTTTTGGATCCAGATATTTGAGGAGCCCGAATTGGCAAGTGGTCCTCCGAGAATGACCCTGTTTTCCCACAATTCACTCCCAGGAGCAGGAAGTCCAGTTCTTCCAAGAAAATAGATTCCAGCATGTAACACTGGGCAGGTGGCTTCCCTCTCTGAGTATCAGTTTCCTCATGAGTGAAATGCAAGGTAAGGGTCCATGGCATCTCTGGTTACTCCAACGGTCCATTGGCTCTGAGCGGGAAGTGGGTTCACTTGGTGGGTGGTGGGGATGGAGAGTCACGGTGCAGGCAGGCAGGTGCTTTACACCCACCAACTCCACCCACCTCCTGATCATTCTACTCCAGGTTTCCTTGACAGTCACTGTACCCCACCCTCAGTCCCTTCGGATCCAGTGAGGTTGACCTGCTCCAAGGCTCCAGGCCTGGACACAGGACCCAGCCTGCCCATCCACAGTAGCTCATCCCTCTAGCTATAATAGTTGGTTCAGGAATGGCTGTAGGGCTCAAGCTGGAACTTTTCCAAGAACTATTAGGAAAGAGACACCCTTAAAAGAGGTTACTAAGTTGATAGATTGGAGCTGCTGTTGCCAGTAGTGGTGGTGATTATGGTGGGAACTCTTATAGAATGAACCCAAAGGAAAATAAGAAGATGAAGGAAAATAAGAGCCTAGAGCTGGAGGGAAAAAAAAAAAAAAAATCTAATATCATTTGAGCACCTGGATCCAGCCATGCCTGAAGCTAGATACTCCTAAAATTTTCAGTTAAATTAGTCAATAAATTCCCTTTTTACCCAAGCTATTTGAACAAAAGCCAAAGTATCCAGGTGGATGTAAGTTTATTCTCTATGCTCTACCTCCATGGCAGCAGCAGGCAATGAGAAAATCAACCTGGGTTGGTTTGTTTTTAGCATTTGGAGGCCAGACACTCAGAACAACTCAAACAGAACTTCCTGCTGCCCCTGCTGGAAAGGAAAGGGTGACTGCCTTCCTTTCTGCTTTGGGACTGCAGCTCCAGCATCTGCTCAATAGTGGAGACTATTCATTCAACATAACACTCATGAGGACCACTGTGAGCCTAACCTTAGGACAGGCAACAAACATAGAAATGGAAAGTGTGACAGCAGCCCTGGAAAGGTGTTCAGTCTAGAGGGTGATCAAGGCCTGCAAACAAGCCTTTCTAATGCAGGGTGAGTGCTTTGGTGAGGGACAGGCAGGCAAGGGCCTTTGGGCTCCCAGAGGTGGAGGCAATACTCCCATTTAATGGGGAGGGACAGACGCTGGAAGGCTTCCCAGAGGAGGTGATCCCTGAGATAAGACCAAAAGACAGGCAGAAGGAAGCTAGGAGAATACAGGTTGGGGGAAGTTTTTAAACAGAAGTTCCTGCCCAGGAGTGTAGACACTGAGGCCTCAGAAGGCAGAAAGCATGTGGGGGAGTAAAACCAATTCCAAATGATAAGGTACAAAGTGCCAGGGAAACAGTGATGAGAATGGAGGCCACATCCGGCAGGGGCTTGTAAACCACAGAAAGAGTTGGAGTTTAAAACTGAAGAGTTTTAAACAAAGAAGTCAGGGCGGGATTGTGTCTTAGAAAAATCACTCTGGACTGGGCATGGTGACTCACACCTGCAATCCCAGCACCTCGGGAGGCCGAGGTGAGTGGATCACCTGAGGTCAGGAGTTTGAGACCAGCCTGGGCAACATAGGAAAACACCGTCTCTACTAAAAATACAAAAATTAGTCAGGCGTGGTGGCGTATGCCTGTAATCCCAGCTACTGGGGAAACTGAGGCAGGAGAATCACTTGAACCAGGGAGGTGGAGGTTGCAGTGAGCCAAGATCATGCCGCTGCACTACAGCCTGGACAACAGAGCAAGACTGTCTCAAGAAAGAAAGAAAGAGAGAGAGAGAGAGAGAAAGACAAGAAAGGAAGGAAGGAAGGAAGGAAGGAAGGAAGGAAGGAAGGAAGGAAGGAAGGAAGGAAGGAAAGAAAGAAAGAAAGAAAGAAAAGAAAGAAAGGAAGGAAGGAAAGAAAGAAAGAAAGGAAAGAAAGAAAGAAAGGAAAGAAAGAGAAAGAGAGAAAGAGAAAGAAAGAGAAAGAGAGAAAGAAAGAGAGAAAGAGAGAGAGAAAGAAAGAGAAAGAAAGAAAAAGAAAGAAAGAAAGAAAGAAAGAAAGAAAGAAAGAAAGAAGAAAGAAAGAAAGGGAGAAAGAGAGAGAGAGAGAAAGAAAGAAAGAAAGAAATTACACTGGTTGCAATAGCAAAGGTCAATTAACCAGAGTTCACTTCTGAGGCTGTTGCTCTCCTTGCAAGAGAGGAAGCACCCTGGTCTAAGAGAGTGATGGTGGGGTGTCTTAGCCCATTCAGATTGCTATAACAGAAGGTACTAAGCTGGGGGCTTGTAAACAACGGAAATTTATTTCTCACAGTTCTGGAGGCTGGGATGCCCAAGATCAAGGCGCCAGCCAATCTGGTGTCTGGTGAGAGCTTCCTGCTTCATAGACGGTGCTTTCTTACTGCATCCTCACCTAGCAAAAGGGAAGGCCAGCTGTCTAGGACCTCTTTGATAGGAGCATTAATCTCATTCCCAAGGCAGAGTCCTCATTAACCATTCACTCCCAAAGGCCCTACCTTCTAATACCATCACCTTGTTGACTAAGTTTCAATAGATCAATTTGGGGGCACACAAACATTCATATTCATAGCAGGGGGTAATGATGATAGCTGTCATTGGTTGAGCATGTACTACGTGAAAGGCTCCATGTTAACCTTATTACAGGAATCAGACTTTTAGCCGCTGTAACATTACTGTTTTGACGGAAGAGGAAACTGAGAGACAGGTTAGGCAACTTGGCAAAAGGCACACAAATGGGGGGTCAGGAAAGCCAGGATTCCAATCCAGCATTCTGAGTAGCGAAGAGGTGACAGAGGGGGGAAATATCTAAAGGATCACATTGGAAGAACAGGTCTGATGGGATGGTAAGGTCAGGAGCAGTGAGGGATGAGGGAAGCCTCATGTTTCCCAGGCAGGGCCTGCTACCTAATTTGTGGAACTCAGTGAAGAATGCAAGTGCTGAGCACTTTGTTCCACATGTATTAAGAATTTCAAGACAGTGCTAGTGGAGTGTAAACCAAGCACAGGGCCCATCTAAGCTTGGGGCCTGGTGTAACCGCCTCGTTGAGATTATCAAGCAACTTAGTCAAGACAATCATAATGACGACCACCATTCACAATGGCCTCCTCTGCACCCAGCGCTGTGATAAGCTCCCAATCCACATTACCATGCTTCCTCTCACATGGTCAGGGTGCTATGACCCCATTTACAGCTGAGGCAACTGGGGCCAAGCGGGGCACGCAGAGCTCAGAGCATGGGGAAGGCTCAGAGGAGGCTGGAGGCTGATAACCAGCTGCTTTTCCTTTGCCTGCCGAAGCCCCACACCTGGTATAATGTTCTCAGTCCCCAGATGAGACCCTAGTTCACAGCTGCCCAGAAGCAGCCTGCCCCAATTCAAAACTCTATCGGGATTTGGGAGAACAAAAAGGAAAATACTAAATAGCCAGACTGGCCCCTACTCTGAGGAAACAAGCAGGGAGTGAGGAAAAGTCCACACAGCTGGCAGAACACAAAGGCAGCCCACCCATGAGAGGCCCCACCAACTCCTGGGCACCTCCTGCCCGGACACCATGTCCCCCAGGGACAAATCCCTGCCCTAGAGGGGTTTATGCTCCAGTGGGTTGTGGGAGGCAAGGTGCAATGGTAACTATAACATTGACAACGGAAAATATTTATTTAGTGCTCACTCTGTGCCAGCCTTGCTCTAACTCACCTAATTTTCATGCCCTGGGAAGTAGGTGGTATTGTTTTCTTCATGCAGGAGGAAATGAAGTCACAGAGAGGTTAAGTGACTTACTTAAAGTCACACAGCTGGTAGATGATAGAGCCAGGATTTGAACCGGGAAGCTGAAAACTCCATCCCCATGCTGAGGACTCACATGCATTCCTCCTGCAAGAGACAAGGTTTACTCGGTTTACACATCAGGGTGTGGAGGCCCAGAGAGGCAAAGTTGGCCACCCTAGGTCTTGTGGCCACCCTAGGTCTTAGCCTCCCGACACTCCAACCTCCTCTCCCCACCACCTCCTCTCCACCTCCCCACTCCAGCAACCCCAGGGCAATCGGCCCCAGGACACGACAACTTCTCATTACTGTCACAAGCAGTAATGCCATCCTGGGGCATAGCACTTTCCCTTGGCCCTGAGGGAGAAGAGGACAGGAAGCAACTCCCAGCTGGGTTGCTCACTTGCCCCACCTTGGAAGGATTTTCTGTGTCTCTGGAAGCAAAGTGGATTCGCTGGGCCCTCCCCAGCCTCACCCCTCTGCCTCCTCCCCTCTCTCTTCTCTCTCTGGGGGGTCACTTGTACTCCAAGCACTAACATGGAACCAGAGGGAGGAAGGTGCAGCGGGGAGAGAAGGCGATGGCAGCGGGGCTGAAACTTGAGATCTTAGCCTTGGGGGGCAGGGGATGGGGGTGGAGGGAAAGAGGGAGAATAGACAGAGACAGGAAGGGAGAGTTAAGTTGCATTTGGTTTTCCAAAGCGAGCGGCACTGGAGCTTGGTGTCTGTGTGTACATGAATGTGTGTGCATGTCGGCGTGCGTGTGAGTGTGTGCTTGTGTGTGCGTGAGTGTGTGCGCGTGTCTGTGGGCTGTTTTCTTCCCTTCCCTCCAGCAGGGAAGCCAGGCCTCACTGGATAATCAGAGGGCTCAGAGGTGAGGTAGGCAGAGCAAGGTTGGTGCACGGTTAGGGTAAGGGCAACGTGCCGTCAAGACTGAGGAAGGAGGAAGGGAAGGAGTGAAGAATAGAGGTAAGAGGGTGTCGGGTGGGGGTGGAGGGAGGCGGTGAGAGGAAGCAGAGCAGCCGTGGTATTCAGAGCAAGTATAAATAGCCGCCTGGACAGAGCTCGGCCAGACAGAGGTCTGTAGCTGCAGCTGCAGGCAAGCCTGGCCACTGTTGGCTGCAGCAGGACATCACAGGCACAGTCTCTGGGGCTCTGAGCAGACACCCCTTGCCATTGCCACGCCTCCAGATGCTCTCCCAGCTAGCCATGCTACGGGGCAGCCTCCTCCTCTTGGTTGCCACCATGTCTGTGGCTCAACAGACAGGGCAGGAGGCAGGTAGGGACTGCGAGACACTTGTAGTCCAGCACGGCCACTGTAGCTACACCTTCTTGCTGCCCAAGCCTGAGCCCTGTCCTCCAGGGCCTGAGGCCTCCAGGGACTCCAGCACCCTCCAGAGGGAATCACTGGCTAACCCAATGCGCCTGGAGAAGTTGCCCACCCAACAGGTGAAACGGCTGGAGCAGGCACTGCAGAACAACACGCAGTGGCTGAAGAAGGTATGGGGCATGGGAGGCTTGCAGGGGGCAGAGGGTGGCTTTGGGGTCTGTCACAATCGGCAAGTGGAGCGTCCATCCCAGAGGCCTTCCCTGAGCACAGAGGGCTGGCTCTGAGTTGCACAGAGAGGGGCAGGGACGGGCCTGAGGCCACACAGCAAGACTGGGCAGTGTAAGCTGGCAACCTGGCTCTTTAACTGCCATCCCTTCATTCATCCAACAGAAATCCATTCAGCCCTGACCAAGGGCTGGACAGACCAAGCTATGCTGGGTGCTGGGGATACAACAGTATAGTATGTCTCTCTCTAGACTAGCGGGGGAAAGAGGCAATAAGAGACAATCTACTATGTCAGATGGTGAAGCAACATGAAGAAGGAAGAGGCCACCACCACCCAGTGGTGGCCCTGGGTGACTGCTTGAGGTCAGATCATTAGAGAGTACATCTCAGAGGTGACATATGAACCCAGAGAACAAGGGAAGTGATACAGTAGGCCAGGCAGGTATTTGAGGGAACGTTCTGAAAAGGGAGCAGCATGTATGTTGACCGTGAGGTGGGAATGTATCCGCAACGGTGAGTGCCTGGAGAACCGCGGGGCGACGGACTGTGTGGCTGGAGCAGAGGAGAGGGAGCAAGGGTGTGGGGAGGTCTGAGAGGTGAGAGAAGGGCAGGCCATGCAGCTGTGGGGGCCGCTGGAAGGACTTCAGCTTTTGTTCTGAGTGTTGTGGGAGCCACTGCAAGAGACACCGGTGATTTGATTTGAACAGCATAGACTGTAGGAGGCAGGGTAGAAGCAAGAAGCCCAAAGAGATGGCCGCTGCAGCCACCAGGTGCGAGGTACCGGAGGCCTGGAGCAGAACGGGACTGGGAGGGGGTGTGGCCAGTCCGATTCTGGTGGGTTCTGGAGGTAGAGCCCATCAGCTCTGCTGGTGAATTGGATGTGGAGTGCAAGGAAGCAAGGAGCTGAGGACGCCACTGTGGTTTTGGCCCAAGACCAGGACTGCTGTAGAATGCCCTGTCACGCTTTCATCTTTCAGCAAACAGTGCGAGCACCTACTGTGTACCCTCGGCGAAGCACCAACTACAGAGGTGTGCAAGGCAGGCTTGGCCCTGGCAGGGCATGAGGGCACAAGAGACATCCTGGGAGGTCTGATTTGGGACTCTTGAGAGTCCCTAAGTGAGAGCTACCAAGGAAAGGGAGAGGGACCCAGGAGACAGTCTGGGCGGTGACTGGGGAATGAAGAATGCAAACCAATTCCTGGAGTTTTAGAAGGTATTAAACAGCAGACAAGCTTGACAACCACCTCTGGCTCCCGGCAGGATGACTGTCATGGTTGCCACCCTGGCTCCCTGCTAACATTCGGCCCCCACCCCCTATTCTCCTTGCAGCAGACCAAAGAATCCCCATCAAAACCTAAGTTACATCCTCTCCCTCCTCCCGGGGCTACCATGCATCCGAATAAAAGCAAGAACCCTTACTCCCTGGAGTTCCCTCTCCCAGACCCCTACTGGGCTTACCCCAGCCTCCTATCCTCTCCAATGTCACCTCCTCAGAGGCCCTTCCTGCCCACCCCGTATAAAATAGCCACCCTCCTTCTTTCACCCTTTATCTCTTCTGCCAGTTTGTGGGTTTTTTTCTTAGCACTTATCCCTACCTAATATTCTTAAAAACATTTCTTTTGGTCTGTGGACTCCCAGAGAGCAGGCACCATTTCTCTTTTGCTCACTCTTGGGTTCCCAGGGCCTAGAATAGTGCCTAACATGTAGTAGGTACTCAATAAATGTCTGTAGCATGGGTGCATGCATGAATGCATAAATGTTCTTCCAACCTCTCAGGTCCCAGGTCTCCATCCTGCTCCATGATGACACAAAATTGGCATTGATGGGATCCTGAGCCCAAAACCTATGACCTTGACCTCCCGCAACATCCCATCTGAGGGTCCATGCGTGTCTCAACTCCAAAGCTATCTGAGATAACTCCCTACTCTTCTCCAAACACCCTCCTCGTGCCTGCCTCTCTCTGTTTAGGGTATGACACCACCCAGCCACAGGCTGTCTGTGCCCTGGGGGCATCCTGTGGCTCCCACCTATTCCCCAGGCAGCTGGCCCAGCCCATCCTGCAGCCTAGGCTTCTCTCATGGTCCATCTTTCTGGCTCAGGCCTTGTCACCTTTCCCATGGACAATGTCATCACCTCCCACTGGGCCTCCTTCCCCAAGTCTCACCTCTCACTCTCATCCATCTTTGAATCCCCTGGGTGTCGGATGCTTGGGAAACATTGGCTGAGAGCTGATGGCTTGAACTGATGGCTTGCAGGATCAGAAGGTCACCTGGTCCGACGCCTCAGCCTGAGATGGAATGTCCTCTCCAGGCATCCATTCACCTAGCCTGAAAATCCTGAGCTGGGGTCAGTCAGGTTACCATAGAGTGCCGTGGGGCCTAAGATCACTGATATGGGAGTTCAGCTGACCTGGCTGCAGGTACTTCCCTACCACATGGCTATGGATGAGCAGGTTTCAGTCTCCCTGTCTGCAAAATGGTGAAAATGTCAGTATGTCATTCGACATACAGGTGAAAGTGACAGTATGTCAGGGATGGCTGGGAAAATAAGTTAGACTGCCCACAAAGCACTCCCAGCCTGCTGCCTGGCTTTGTGTTTCACAGACACAGGGGAGCTCACCTGAGCAGTGTGATGGGCTTTTCTTCAATTCAGCATAATCCCTATTTTAAGCCCCTGCACCAATGAGTGGGAGAAGCTCGATCTTGGTCAAGTCAGTACAAGGGTTGCACGTGTCCTTGGATCTGGGAATGTCAACTGTCCACGCTGGTGTTCTCAAGGACTCCTCAGTCCTGCACCGTCTCTGGTGTTTGCGGTGCCATCTCCTGGGACAGGAGCCCCTTGGGTTGAGCACTCCTTCATCCCCTTGGCAATCAAGTCACTGCCAGGTCGCCCAATGCCTGTGGAGCCTGCCACAAGATCAGACCCATCAGCCTAGATACACCAGGTCACCACATTGCCTGGGTCTATCCCCTCCTTGGGCAGCAGCAGAGCCCGAACGGTGAGAGCCCTGACTCTGGAGCCCAGCTGCTGGGATTCCAGTCTCATTTCTGCCCCTTGCTGTGTGACCTGGAGTTGCTTCATCTCTCTGAGCCTTGGTTTCCTCACCTACAAAACAAGGTGAAAATACTACCTACCTCTGAGGATTTAACAAGATGATTCCAGGAAGTCCTTGGCCTGGTGTCAAGTGTATAGTAAACACTCAACACATGTTGGCTATTTCCATCGGGGGTTGTCCCTGGAAGTGGAGACATGGGTCCTGCAATTCTTAGGTCCTTCCTCACTCCAGTTGAGACACGTGACCCTTGGTTCATGTAAACAATAATTTCTCTCTCTCCCCTCTGACACTCCTGGGCCCCAGTGGGGGGTGCTTGCTACCTTCTGTAGCTATGGCTGTCACCTTCCTCTGGTTCTTCTCTTGGTCCAGGCATATCTCAGATCTTCTGAAACTCAAAGCTCTTTTTTTTTTTGACTTTTTCTCTAACATCCCAGAAAAGTTAAAAAAGAGTTTTGAAATACTCTCATCTAATGGCACCATCATCATCATCATCACCATCATCACCATTGCCGTAAGGGATGAACAAGCTCTCAGCAAGATTCTATTCATCTAGACAGACACAGGGGAGATCCTCCCTGTTGCGAATCCCAGAGGCCAACATCTGCTCAGCCTGTGCCCCCAACTCCCCTCCTGTTTCCCCAGTGTACAGGTGAGGAAACAGGCCAGAGAGGGAAAGTGACTTGCCAGAGTCAAGTAGCAGTGAAAGTCAATCTGGATTCTCACTCCAAACTGCAGGTTCTTTTGGAGGCAAGGGAAGCAAGATCTCGAGAGGATGGGGTGCTCTTGGTGCACCCTTCTACTGCAGAGTTTCCAAGTCCCCAGATACCCACTCTCTTTTCCTAGCATACAGCTTGCTGTGTCCTACTGCCAGTGCTCATCGGGCAAGGGGAGAGCCCCGGCCTCGCCCCTTCTCTCTCTCTCCTCTTTCACACTCTCCTCCTCCCCTGCACTCCCCTTCCCTTTCTTCTCCCTTCTCTCCCCCTCCTTCTGCCTCCCTCCCTCTCCTCCTCCTCCCTCCTGGAAAGCCCCTGCCCCAGTGACTCCCATCTGGAGTCAGCTCCTGGGGCTGCACATCAGCTCTGGGCTCTGCTCCACCCTCTGCATCTGGATGAAAAGCTGCAGGCAGGAATATTGAGGAGGTTGGGGGACAGAGCCAGCTGCAGTGCAGGCATCTCTAGCTGGGCTGGGCAGCTCAGTGGCTAGTCACATGACCTCCTCTGTCCACCGCGTCCTCGCTCTAGGACCCAATGCTGGCCCTTCCCTCTCAGTGCCTCATCCGGAGGCTGGGAGGAGAATGACAGCACCTACTCCTGACCTTCTATGTGACGTCAAGAGAAGCAGAGCAGGGAAAGCCTCTGCACACAGCAGGTGCTCAATAAGGGCTCCCGTGTGTGACTGCCATTTCCCCAGTTGCTCCAGGTGTCCCAGCCAAGAAGTGCCATCCTCTGCCTTCTCCTCATGTCCTCACAGAGTGATCCATTCTACAGATGAGGAGAATGAGGAAAACCAGGGCCAGACACAAGCCCCAGGCTCCCTGGCCCACCCCCACCACCTGAGGGCAGCACATCTTCCCCAGTCTCTGAGCTCCCAGGGACAGGGCTGACTCCACCTGGAAACCAAGGGTGAGAACTACTTTCTCGCCTTTAGGGAGCAGCCAATAGCTGCTGGCCTGGAGTCCATGGTAGCCTTCTCTCTATCTATCTCTGTCTATCTTTGTCTGTCTCTGTCTCTTTCTCTCTCTCTCTCTCTCTCTCTTAAAGACAAGGTCTGGCTCTCTCAATCACTCTGGGGTGCAATGGTGCAATCACAGCTCACTGCAGCCTTGAACTCCTGAGCTCAAGCGATCCTCCCGCCTCAGTCTTCCAAGTAGCTGGGACGGCAGACGCGAGC